AGTAACAAATATATTTTTGTAACTAATTTGTTTTACATTGACAATCCGCAATTTATCAAAGCTACTGCAATTTCTAGTGATAACAAACAAATCAACTAAATGGCGCTTACTCATTGACTTACAAATGTAAGTCAATGCGCTTATTGCTCAGATTTGCATGTTTAGTGCCGGCTATTAATTTGTTTAGGATTAGCGCCATCTACTATTAGGAAGCGTTAATTTATAAATAAGTTGGTAACACACAATGGCGTTTTTACTTTGCTCTTTGGAAGTGTCACGAGCAGCATTCGACACCATTTCGGCACCCCCTAAGACTGCACCTGTGTGCGCTCTCAAAATTTACTTTCCACGAGTAGAAAACGTGCTGTCATGTCAACCGGTATACCGATGTTTTACGTCAAAAACATGTCAGCTATGCGGTGAAAATTTTAACAGACACGTCCTACCATTTTCATCAATCAATGTTTTGGTACCAAAGTGTAAGTAAACCGTGGTTTTATGCCTAATTCGGCCACTTGGGAAATTCCACCGTTGTTGCCCGGAAATTACGCTTGAAAATTGTACAAGACTAATAAAACATAAAGAATCATAAAAAGCAAGAAATAAGAATTTAATTTAATAACGAACCGACCTCTTTAGAGCAATACAGTATGAATAGAGCACCTTATGCAAGAGTTCGTCCAGGGAAGTACCTTTTTCTGCCGCCAAGCAGTAACGTGAGCATTACTGCGTTCAGGTTTTGAAGCGTAAAGGTGCTGGTGCAGGCACATGGCTTTGTTAACTTACGCCTATGGTGACAAGCGCAGTGGCAGTGTCCCTCATGTGTTTGCTATTTAAACCTGTGGGTGGCACTGCAACTGCCACGAACAGGCGTGTCGCTTAACACCAAGCGTGCGACTTGTTGTCTCATCACTAAACGTCACGGTATCATAAAAAAATACAACTATAAAATTGATGAAGAGTGCGAAGTTACTATTAGTAAATTGAATAAGATACGAATTTTTAGAAGTTGTCATTTATTTTGACGTTATAATGCTTCTTACAAATAAATAAATACAACAATATTATTATTATAAGCAAAATGATGCACTTGACGGCAAATTATTTGGCACAAAATCAGCTGTAAACGATCCTTTACGTTGCAACAACAAATATTATTAAAATTATTAATACAAAGATCGAACACTCAGAAAAAATTCCTTCGATCCGGCCGGATTCTTTTTTCTGAGCGTTCGATCTTTGTATTAATAATTATAACAAACTAGTGAAGTAATTTCACAAAAATAATTGAATATCAATTCAATAAAAATTTAAAACGAATATTGTTTAGAAATTACTAATGTTGCAATTTTACATGGCTATGGCATATATTTCAAAGAAAAAGAGCAAGAAACTTGTGAATACAAAGTAGCAACAAGCACATAGAGAAATTCGTAAAGTCGAAGCTCAGTTGGAAGAGCGATTGCCCCGGTTTAGCGAAAAAGTCGCTGGTTCGAATTCAACCGGATCGAAGGAATTTTTCTTTGCATTTGTTCGATTTTTGTATCAATAATACCAAATCAATGAATTAAAATTTGAAATTTTCTCTCAGATAATTTGTACATTAATTACGAGTATTTTTTATAGCGTAAAATCTTTCACTCTGCGACTTATGGAGTTACTATTGTATGCAGCAATTTTTTTCGCTCTTATTTATTGCAAAATATTTATCAATTTCTCCTACACGCTCTGTAAAGTTTAATTTAATAAATGCAATACATATTATATCAAAACAAATTACAATATTATTTTTTGTTTCCAAACAAACAGTAGCAAGGGCCAATCAACGTCTTTACCGACACTGTAAGGAATGTATTATTATTTTTTAAAGTCTTCTTTAACTTCAATAAAACTTTTTTTTCTTAATGAATGGCTTGTGAGACTAATTGTCTCAATTCTGCCATTATCCGTTTCATGATAATTTCATAAACATCATGGAGGGAGTGTATACAGAAAATTTTTCTGTGACTCAAGGAGTACCGAAAGCAATAAAACTTTACGCGCTGTGCCTTTATCATGAATTCTCTGTGACAGTTGTCGCTAGCGGCCGCGTAAATGACTTCACAGTTTTATAACATATTATACAGCGCCCCTAGCGGTCACAAGAAACAACATTTTGTATACAAACGCGATCGCTAGCGATAATAAAATTGTTAATGCGTTAGTTATAACGAGGGCAGAAATGTGCTCAGTAGCTCGTAACAACAAAAGATAATATTTTCTATTTTCAGCTTGTTAACTGATTTCAGAAAAGGCTCAATTCGACTTTTTTTTTGTATGTATGTTATGCGACAACTCGGCATTTATGCACCGATTTCGATGATTCTTTTTTTATTGAAAAGAGGGTACCTCAGGAGTGGTACCATTTAAATTTGAAGAAAATATTCCACCTCCAAGGGTGGCAAACTAGGGGATGAATCCGTTTTCGCGCACTTTCCGGGAACAGATTACAATAAAACTTGGCAAATAGATGTAATTCTTACGTTGTTGTTGAAGTCATGATAAAAATTTATAATTTTTACAAATTCGTTTGTATTTTTTTTATTTAGCGACAGCAGAGTGTCGGTAGAACAGTTCATTGACCCACAATAATTATATATTGTCGCTTAATTTAACATGGCATTTAATCACTGGCAAGTTTACGGCGCCAGCTACAATCTCAGTTGTAAACAGTTCTACAATACCTCATGGCTACAATTCTTTTTGCTAGCGGTGTACGCATTTTACTACAGTGAGAACGTGTACATTATAATAGTACAATAATAAAAAACATTTAATAATATAATTATTAAAAATTCATATTTAATATTAACAATAATCACCTTACTATCTAGATGCTACTAATATTAATGGAATAACATTCATTTACCATTTTAGAATGTCTAATTTTTGGCCAATTATAAAATAAAAAATAAAATTTGAGCAAAATAATAAAAGTAATACTATCTATTTGTGATAGTATGATTTCATATATTATATTTCATTTCGTAAACATATATATACAATCGCATCGCTACTTATACAGGTAAAGGCTAACCAGTTTCTTCTGGACCCTGAAATAATGGATATTGACCCTAGTCATCAATGTTCGTGTTACCAATACAAGATATACAGCAACATCAACCCATTTACACGTCCTACTGCTGGGCATGGATCTCACACGTTTTCCGAGGGTTGTGAACCCTTCCACGTGAAGGTTTTCAACGTTGTTTTCCTTCACCGAAAAGCTCGTAGTAAATTTCAAATTAAATTTTGCACATATTACGAAAAATACCTCAGAGGCGCGTGACAGGATTCGAACCCACGGTCTCTGCTAAGAGGCGGTAGGTCAAATTATTAAGCTATCAATGTTTTTTTATGAGATAAAAGTTCTTCAAAATTTCGCAACAGACGGGGGTCCAGTTACAAATCGTTAGCCTTTACAAGATGACAATAATATTTATAAAATAAAGCATGATATAAAGGCCAATATTTAATGTATTAAAATGTATGGATAACGTATTAAAATACATTAGGAATTTCGCAAATGATTTGTTCCGACAAACTAATAGTAAGGTGGAAGTGTAATACTGCTTTTCTTTTTCTGACTTGTTACCAGTACATACAGGTCATCCAATAGTAGTACGACAAACTGGAGGTACTTTATTTAACAGTTTTCAAAATAGCAAATTATATATTTGACGACCTAGGTGTGTTATCATATCAATGCTTATTTATTTATTTCAATAATCACGAAACTATTTGCTTATTATTGATATATTTACGTTATCATAATCATAAGCCATTGGTACCGTTTTAGATAAAATAAATAAAATCGAGATTGGAATACAATAGCTACTGGAACATAACAACTGCTAGTGCGGACTGCATCGCAATTGCACGCTGAAGTTGGTAGTCGTGCTACAGACGTTTGTAATAATGCCGACTATTATATTACAGCTGCAATACAGTCAAAACGGAGTTCATGTGACTCTACTCTTATAATTTTCAAAGTACATAGATTTTTTTAAATCGAACAAGATACCAAATACTGTCGTAACCAGAAATAGGCAGTGGACTAAACCCTAATGAACCCATGGGTTTTAACCCATTTCTGCCCAAATCGTGGGCAGAAACGGCGTGTACGGAATTTAGTGAAATTGCATACTTATTACAAATTTCGATAAAAAAATACCTTTTTAGACGAAAAAGAGGCATCTTCATACAATAACCACATTGCAATCCTGTGGATTCGCACTACTAAGGATGCATATAGTGAATCGATTTTTATTCGATCGATTCACGTGCACAATTTTTTGTGTCGATTTATTTCATTACAATTTTAAAGCGAACCGATATAATGGAAAGGCAAATCGAATTGTCCAGATAAGAAAGCAGTAAACATTTTGTAACAATATCATTTTTTAATACAACTTGATTTACAACAAATATTAAATTATTATAAATTAGTTGTAAATACTTTTTGCCTTCGATTTCGGGCATTAATGGGCTTTGATTGAAACCCAGCATTAACAAAGCGCCGGGTTAAAACCCGGGCGCTTGCACATCTCAGGTCGTTACTCAAAAATGATGGAATTAAGAAAAAACGGTTAAAAAATTAATAAAAAATACTGAATTAACCTTATTGCGAATAATGTGATTATTTTTGTTTATACATTATAATTTATAAATTTTAATGATAATATAAATTTATTGATTCCCTTCAATACCTAATTTTTTCTGTAATATCAAGTGAAGGGACATGTAGTGCATCTGATGGCAAGCTACACCTACACGCCTGTCCATAACAGTTGCAGTGCCACTCAGAGCTTGAAATCGCAAAGATCTTAGGGGCACTGCCATTGCGCCCGTCACCCTGAGATGTAAGTTAACAAGTCTCATGTGCCTGTTATTTCACCAGCACCTTTACCTTTCAAAACCGGAACACAGTAACGCTGACATTACTGCTTGGCGGCAGAAATAGGTACGGTGGCACTTCCCTGGACGAACTCTTTCACAAGGAGCTCTACTGTTACGACAGTATTTGGTTACATGTACGAAATATTGACAAATCTATTTTGCTTCGTAAAATTTCCTTCTTTATTTTGTAAAACTGTTTTTGATAAGTTATACATGCAAAGTTGCTCCACTTACCCTTTTTATCAATAAAGGTAGATTTTGATCATAATTAGCACCACCCCCCACATGTCGTTCTACTAACTGGGCGTCGTGTATTGTTTTTATTAATACCATTAGTACTTTGTCATTATAAACAGCTAATTAGCTAGCTATGTGCATATAAATAAAAATATAAATCAATCATGAAAATATGTAGAGATGGTTTTCTTGCAATTAATTCTACGAAATTCCTAAAAGCCGTGCTTATGTTGACTACCATGACCTTATAAATGGTGTCAAACTGTATTAAATGATAGAATATGCAAAATTGACTTGTAATATGTTTACTCGGACATCTGCAGCAGTGAGTTGATGGTGGCGTCTTTGTTCCCGCGGTTGGCTTCCAACACGGATTTTATGACCTCCTTGTCGATGCTTGGGAACATCTCTTCGATCTGTTAAGTTAAATATTAAATCAAGTTAAATATTACTGGTTGTATCACAAGAATAAATAAATATTATGAATTATCATTGGTAATGACAATCATCAAATGGAAAGATATCCTTATTTATTTTTGTATTACTGGTTGAAAGCAAGGTAGGAAGGCAAGCTTTCAACGGCCGGCGGAATATTCACGCATATTTTTATAAATAGCGCCTAAATTTTATACGGAGCAATTATGTTAATGGTTGATCTTGCTAAGCTCCAATTGAAGGCGTTTTTCTCTCAATATACTTTAAGCAGTGAGCACCGATTTTTATTATCTCCTGTGTTAAGTCCCGTATAGCGGCGAACTAGGGGACGTCCGGTTTTGCGCACTTTCCGGTAACCAATTACAATAAAACTTGGTAAATATAAAACACTAAACAATAAAAATTGAGGTCGGTTTTTTTTGGATTATTTATTTTACGAACTTGGATTCAAGTCCTTGTGACTCAGTGTTGCCACTGTTTCAATCACAGAAGAAAAAAAATTGGTTTACTAATTTGAAACACTGCGAAATTTTATAATGAATGGTCGTAGTTTCAAGTTTAAAAAGAAATAACTAATTCTGGACTGTTGATATAATTTAAACTTTACCCTCTGGCATATCGTTGAAAGTGTAATGCCCTCAATAACTATTATTGCGAGTTACGACGATTTGATTTTATATTGAAATTTCAATAAATGTGCTATCATCTAGCGGTTAATAGCTGAACAACGACGAATTCGATATATCTACTTAGTTCTCCAAAAAAAGAAGCGACTTTATTGTCATTCCATATTCCACATAGTTCGTTTTTACTGATTTTTGTTGAAGATATAATTTAACTAATTAAAATACTAACTACAAACATTATAGCGTGTACTACATTATACGCCACATTGTTATCTTCGTCCTGAAAGATTACATAGAAATCACATATGAGGTATACACTCTAAGACGACGATAGGGCATAAGTAGAACATACCTGTTGCAGCTGTTCAGCAGTAATCGGCTGCTGTTGTGGCGGTTGCTGTTGCGGCGGGTAGCCCGGCTGGAGCGGGTAGGTCGGCTGCTGTGGGTAGCCCGGCTGCTGTGGGTAGCCCGGCTGCTGCACGTAACCCGCCAGAGGTTGCGGCGCGGTGTACATAGGCATCGCTGCGTAGCCCATGCCCGTGCTCGGGACCACTAGCATCGGTGGGAATGCCGTTACTGGAGCTGGACCCACCTGCAATACAAATACGTGGAAAGGATGATAACCATTACTGCCCTCATCTTACTTATCATGTCCAGCAAATTCAAATTTTTAATTAACCTACAATAATTAAAACCACCTTTTTGATAATAGTCTAGAAACCAATGATGTTATACTAGTAAACAATAGATGCGTAATCCATCCACCATCTTGAATTCCAGTGAGTACAACGTCACCGAGACGTATCAAAAACGGTGAAATGTGTAATTAAAATTTGCAATTCTCGGTTCGAAAATGATCATAAAACTACTACGGTTACTTTCCACGGGTAAGTTTGTTTTTGTTTGTTTAGATTGTCGTAAAATTAAAATGAAATAATATTATTTTAAACATCAATGTTGCCAGTAAATCAATTTTCATTTGCCCATAATATTTGGAGTTAACCTTTTTGAAGTTACTTTTGACTTCGTAGTCAAATCAAGATTATTCGTTGTAACGTTTTGACGTAAAGTGTAACCGTAATACTATTAAAAATGATATTTTGTTTGTTTCCCAGAATACCTAAAGATCGAACGCGCAGGGTGAAGTAGATAAAAATTACACGACTTTCACGAAAAGATACTTTGAGTAACAAAACACAAGGCAACTGTACAACAAGCAAATGATGTGTAGTGGCGTTTATAATTTGTAATAAAGTATAGTTAAATGTTTGTGTATCAAGTAATTTGTAATACCTACTGTTTTATAAATTTGTTTTTGTTAAATAGAAACAGAAACTTTGTCGGAAGACAGTATTTTTATCACCTTTATCCAATAAATGAAAAATACTAGAAAAGCAATGAGTTCCATAGATTAGAAAGTCTTATCTTCATATTTACAGTTTATTGAAAGAACTATTAATTTCAAGCGTGGACCCTTAAGTTCATGCATTTTCATGTATATTTCACTCACTTGTTCATTCCATTTCTGATTACTATGTATCTCCACTGTCTCTTTCCACCAGTGAGGCTTCAAGAAATTAGGGAAAATTATTTCTAAACCGTTAACACTGGTCGTATCACTTAATACACTATGACTATTTCGTCTGTTTAAAGGTAAAACCACGTAAGTGGCATTTTCTACAAAAAGTCTTTATATAGCTATGGAAAGAAAATCACTATCTTTCTGCAGGTGAAACTCAATAACAAGAAAGCTATAAACTCAAGAAGTGGTTTTATTTGCAGAAAGATGGTGATTTTCTTACAACAAGTGTCGCGATTTAGTATTAGTTTTGTAATATCAAGCATTAATAAATTTAGTCTGTTATGATACCTAAGACTAACACGGCAGTACAGGCATCTCAAATGAAGGTGAGATATCAGGCATCTGCTGGGAGTGCACTGGTTGGTCAACACTACGGTTGGTAAGTTTGCACAATGTTTATTACTAACGTAGATACAGTATTTGTTGACTAGACAGCCTGAAGATAGAGTATGACGAATCAGTAACAGAATTAGAATGAGACCGCCACTTGTAATGAAGGTATAAGGCGGCATGAAGCGGTGGCAGAGGAAGGGTTGCAGGGGTGTGTGGGAGGCCCATCATAAGGATCAGAGGATCCCACTAGTTCAGATCCGGGGGATCGATATGAGGTCAAGGACCTTTTAGGACCATTACAGTAATCCTATGAAGTAGAATGGAGTTAAAAGAAGTGTACATGAAGAAAGTTACTCTATTTAAAGGTTGTTGTGATAGAAAGAATGTCGCATATGTAGTTTACATTATGATTGAACCTTAGGCGTGGCGACAACAGGTACATAATTTGGAGATTTTTCGTGGATTGGTGGAATGTAACTTAAGTGGTTTTACCTTCAAGCAGACGATTTCATTTTGACATAATAAATTTGACATTAGAAAAAACGAGACAAATATATTTTTCTTTGAAATTTTAATCAGTTTCAAAGATTTGTCTTTAAATTTGCAAAGTGGTCCCACATTTTAGACAACTGTTTGTAGGACATTGCGTCTCTAGTATTATTTATGCTTACTGCTAGAACCCACCAAAGCAGCAGTTTATTTTGAATGAAAAAAAAAATGTCATTTGTTGCATTTTAGGTTCTGTATGAATGGCAACGAAAGGTGACAGATTGCAGTTTATTTTATTCCAGATGCTCAGTGTTGCCAGATGTGTGAGTTGCCATGTATCTTATTTTTAAGGAAACATTTTCGGAGAGATTACAACTAGGCGGAAGACCTTCCCTACTGAATTCTATTTTTTTCCTCAATATACAATAAGTATGTAATTCTATAAGTTTGTTCGATTATTAGACAGGTAATGTTAGAAGTAGTTTTTTTATTTATAAAAATATAAAAATCCGTTGCTTTACATGAAAATCGAGGAATAGATTCAGAATCTAGGTCTTATGGGCTTTAAAATGCGCCATGTGTAGCTTATGGACATGACAGTTTAAGGTTAAGGCATGCATTCACATTGCATCGGACATCGCCCTTTATATTTATGAACCCGTCACCTGTCAAATTACAATCGATAGAGACGCACGGAAGGTTTCCCTAACGATTTTGATACCGTAGTGTCCTAAAAGCACACGATCTCTGCTTTGCTTACATCCAAAATTTTAAAAAATAAAAAATAGATAAAATTAAAAAAGAAAATACCAAAACCATTACGGACACACGTAATTAGTACGCTCAATTATTATTGACATATAACATTTTATATCTTTTGTAATTTTACTTTTTGGAAAATTAATTTTGAGAAGTGCCCAAGAGAGATGTTCTGGTATTCATAGTATACATATAGTTCACTAGTATGAGACCTATAATACTGGGCTGGTTGTCTGGCACATTTTTTTTTCTATATTAGTCAACATCACGTACGTTGCTCCGATCCCAAATTAAGTAACTAAAGCACGTGTTATGGAAATAAGAAACAACGCCGCTACCACAAACACCCAGACCAGAGACAATATAGAAAAGTTAGTTTTAAAATTATTAAAAAATCACTTCGATCCGGCTGGATTCGAACCAACGTCCCCTAGCAAACCGTACCAGACGCTATGCTAACCACCTCACGAACCAACGGACCTCAAGAATTTTTCCATGTGCTTATTGCAGATCTCTGTTTTGGTTTTTAACGACTTCATGCCGTAGCGCCATCTGTTAAAAACCTATGAAAGTTTTTCTTCACTCAGCAATTATTAAACTGACGTCTTAAGTCAACGGCTGGTAGCTTTAAAGGTACCTCGCGGCCCTGACATTCAATAAAACTTAATTAAAGTTAGTTTTTCTACATTGACCCGGCCGATGATCGATCCCGGAGATGGCAACACCACGAAAACCGGTGTGCAAGCCACTAGACCACAGAGGTCGTCGAAATTAGAATTATTATTATTATTATTCAAACAGAATCCCAACATTTAATATACTTACAGAGTAGCTGAGTACAAGGTTGATCATGCCTTCCAGTCCGTCACCCTGCTTGCCGTTCAACGGATACCAGTCTTCGTGTGTCTCACCCTGAAAAGCCATTTATCATCATCATCTGTCGGTACGCATCAGGAAATAACTATATGTATGTATGTAAATGCTCCCTATACAAGCAGTAGTCTTTTGACAAGTAATCACGTTTTCAATTTCAATCAATCAATTTTTTCTGAGTGTTCGATCTTTGTATTAATAATTATAACAAACTAGTGGAGTAATTTCACAAAAAATAATTGAATATCAATTCAACTTAACTTAATTTCTCAAAACACGTATCTTATAAAGAGTGATTATTCAGAAGATGATGGCAAAACTTTCTATTTATTTCAAATTTCTTATCAAGAGTGTTTATTTGAAATCAAGCTGCAAAATTTGTATATACAAAACATTTTTTGCGTTTCAGTAACTTTGTACTTTAAGATACGAGCTTAAGAAAGTAAGGCGACAATATGTTATTTTCGTAAAAAAATAAAAAATATTAAAAAGGTCACTCTATACGCTGATTACTTTTTTTATAATAAATAAGTGACGGGACGACTAAGTAAGTGACACCCCTATGCATAACAGTTGCTGTACCATTAAAATAATCAAAGCAAAATTTGGTAGATTTATGAATAAACTACATATATAAATCTAATTACTTAAGATATTTGAGCTATTGTTTTATTTATAGACAGATAAATAACACATGCCGTGTGTAATGTAACTTTCGGTTGATTTACGCTTTTTCTAATAATGCCACATCTTTAATGCTGCAGCGACGCATTTTTATTAATAACTAATTCCATGGCTCTAGTGAAAAGCAGCACAAGTAAAAAAACCCAACTTTACAAGGAAACGCGAAAAACACTTAAGAGCTTAATATCATATTCAGTTTTAACTGTTTTTCGCGTCTCCTTCCAAAGTTGGCTGTTTTCACTTGTACCCCTTTTCACTAGTAACAGAATTGTTTTTCACTCTCAATATTTCTGTTATAATTATTAATACAAAGATCCGGAAAAAGGCCGGATTCGTTCCAACGTCTTCTAGGAAACCGTAAAATAAAATAATTGAAATCATCATGGTCAAACATCCCGACATTCAATAAAATTATTTAGTCATTATTTCTGTCCATTTTATTACAATTCATGTGAATAATTAAATAAAAAACTCTATGCGAACCACTTAGAGCTTTAAATAACAAAAATTTGACTTAAGGATTTAAGTAAGGTCTAAGCCGTGAAACTAACATTAAGCACAGCCTGGGGAATGGTGATGTGCGCCCACGCAATTAGTTCGTCCATTGTGAACGAGCACTCGTCGAAAATCTCCAGGTATATCGAATTGACACCGGGCCGCAGCAGGCTGGAACACAGATGTTAATTTTTAAAATTAATCTGTATAGATTCAATCTGTATAGCAATCGTATGATTGCTTTTTTAAAATTAAAATGCCTATTCCATCAAAAGTTAGCAATAATCATAACTAAACCCCGAAGCATCTTTAACGTTGTCCGAAGGTACACAGGTAAGGTAAGTTTTTGCCTTATAAAAGACAAAGCATTTTTTTTATGATATCAAGTGACGGGACGAACAAGTCGTGAGCCTGGTGGTAAGCTACACGCCTGTCCATAACAGTTGGAGTGCCATTCAGAGTTTTAAATCGCAAAGAGGGGCACTGCACCTTCGCTTATCACCCTGAGACATAAGTTGACAAGTTATGATATATATATTGTGTTGTGTGGCGTTATAATAAATTAATTCCATTCTATTCTAAATTTAAAAATAAAACTGAAAAAGAATCTTCACAATTTTGCAATTGCGACAACTGAGTCCGTGGTAATTAATGCACGAGGTGTCATTTGTAAATCATTATAAAATTGTTAATATATATTACCAATGAATGACTTTGTTCCATCGCGGCGTTTTCCCACCGCTGGGATCGGTGTGAGTTTCATAGATGCAGTGACCCACGCGCAGGCGTACATAGGGATCCATGCGGGTTAGCCCTGTGGCATAATAAAAATTAACACACTAGACCGTCGCACCAGGTAGTCAACTATGAATGATAATCTACCCAAATCGAGTTCTAATAAAAATTCAAACGGCGCGTAAAAATTCATAATTTGGTAATGTCATCATTAATATCCGA